AGTATCAGTTGATTTCTCAACAGAAACTTTGCAGGCCAGAAGGGAGGGATTGGCACAAAATATTCAACATGACGAAAAGCAAGGATTTACAGCCAAGATTACTCTACTCAGCAAGGCTATCATTTAAAATCGAAGGACAGGTAACAAGTTTCCCAGACAAGAAAAAGCTAAAGGAGTTCATCAACACCAAACCAGTATTATAAGGAATCTGAGGGTGACTTCTTTAAGATGAAAAAAATAAATAAAAAAAAATAAAATGGCAACCTATCAACAATTACTTTCAATGGAAATGGAGTTAATGCTCCAATCAAAAGATAGGGGAGCTGTGAATGGACAAGAAAACAAGACGCTTCCATATGCTGCTTACAAGAGACACACTTCAGATCAAAAGACACACACAGACTGAAAGTAAAGGGATGGAAAAAGCTATTTCATGAAAATGGAAACAAACAAAAAGCTGAAGCAGCAATACTTATACCAGACAAAATACACTTTAAAACAAAGACTATATGGGCCAGCCGAGTGGCGCGATGGTTAAGAACTGGCTTGGGACACCAGAGGGCCCCGGTTCGGATCCCACATATGAGGGCCAGTGACACTGCCCTCCACAGCTAAGATGCTGAACAACAGCTCAACCTGGAGCTGGGCTGCCATGAGTCGCCGGCGACGGCATGGGCTGCAGTCCCTGTGGCAGTGGATTGCCATGGGCTACCGTGTGTAGCCAGCAGCCAGCGTGAGCGGCCAGCAGCCGCAATGAGCAGCCATCCAGAAGCCGGCAACTGATCTGCCTCGCCTGGGAAGAGTGCAATGATGGTGCCAGCTTGGGCCAGTGAAGCAACATCCTCCACAACTAGATTGAAGAACAAAAACGACAGCAACTTGTCTGTTCCCCTTCCCCCAACTCCCCAGCACTGTTCCCATCCCCCCAATTCCCCAATAAAAAACTTTAAAAAACCCCCAAAAAACAAAGACTATAGAGTGGTTCAGTTGATTAAGAGCTCGCTCAAGAGTTTGAGCTCTGAGCAACAGCGGTTCGATTCCTGGCCTGAGCTAAGCAGCTGCTGAGCTGCCAACAGGTGGCAGGATGGCTCAGCTAAAACAAACAAACAAAAAAACCCCCAAAAGAACAAAAACCAAAGACTATAACAAGAGACAAAGAAGGCCCTAGTAACCCCACTTTGGGTATTTACCCAAAGAAGCCCAGAATGCTACTTTGAGGGGATATGCTCATCTATATGTTTACTGCAGCGCTGTTTACTATAGCCAAGACACGCAGGCAACCTGGGTGTCCCTGAATAGATAAATGGATAAAGAAGAGGTGGTAACATATATACAATGGAATATTACTCAGCTGTAAAAAAGAATGAAATCTTGCCATCTGCGACAACATAGTGGGCCTATAGGGTATTGTGCTGAGTGTAGTAAGCCTGACAGCGAAAGAAAAATGTCATAAATTTCACTTATAAGTGGACTCTAAAGAACAAAATAAACAAACCAACATAAGAGAAACTCATAGATATAGAGAACATTTTGACAGTTGTCAGATGGGAGGGCTGTTAGGGGTAGGTGAAAAGGGGAAGAGATTGAGAAGTACAAATTGGTTGTTACACAGTAGTCATGGGATGTAAGGTATAGAACAAGGAATATAGTCAGTAATATTGTAATAACTGTGTATGGTGTCAGGTAAGTACTAGATCGGGGTGATAGATGGGAGCGGGGGTGGGGGCAGAGTAAAAAAGGTGACGGGATTAAGAAATACAGATTGGTAGTTACAAAATACAGGGATGTAAAATATAGGGAATATAATCAATAATACGGTAACAACTATGTGTAGTGCCAGGTGGGTACTAGTCAGGAGGATCACTTCCTAAATTATATAAATGCCTAATCACTATGCTGTATACCTGAAACTACTATAAAATAATACTGAATGTCAACTGTAATTGAAAAATTAAAAGCGGGGGGAGATAAGTAAGGATAAGAGGTTCAAAGTTCCAGATATAAAACAAATAAGTCTTGGGGACGTAATATGCAGCATAGAGATACAGTCAATAATATTGTGATAACGTGGTACAGTGTCAGATGGTTGCTGGACTTACAATGGTGATCACTTCTTCAGCATAGGGAATATAATCAGTAAGGTGGTAATAACTCTGTATAGTACCAGGTGAGTGCTGTTGAATAACTATGATGTACACTTGACTAATGTAATATTGTATGTTAGCTATGTCAATAAAAATCTTTTAAAAAAATTAAAAATGCAACTTATTTCTGGATATTAATTTTGTATCCTGCTACCTTTACTAAATTCATTTATGAATTCTAATAGTTTTCTGGTGGAATCTTTTGGATTCTCTATGTATAGTATTATGTCCTCTGCAAATAAGGACAGTTTTACTTCTTCCTTTTCCATTTGGATGCCTTTTATTTCTTTTTCTTGTCTGATTCCTGTGGCTAGGACTTCCAGAACTATGTTGAATAAAAGTGGTGAAAGTGGGCATTCTTGTCTTGTTCCTGATCTTAGGGGAATGCTTTTAGCTTTTCCCCATTGGGTATGATGTTAGCTGTGGGTTTGTCATACATGGCCTTTATTATGTTGAGTGTTGTGAGGATTAATATATAAAGTACTCAAATACGTGGCACATAGTACATGCTATAAGAATTTGCTTTTTATTACTATTGTTATTATTTCTTTTTTTTCTTCACACTGTTTTTTTTCTTTTTTACTTCACACTGTTTCTTAAACATTTGTCTATGTTATAAAAATTATAACATTTAATGGCTGTGCATTACATCATAACATTTAGCATGGATATACTGTCATGCACTTAACAATTTCCCTATCATTGAACATCATTATTCTGCTATTTTAGTTATTATAAATTATGCTACAATTAAAAAAAATGTTTTGTTTTTAACCTCCCAGGGAAAGAGCCCTAGAATGAAGATTATAAGAATAAAACATGAACTCTAAAGAGTTCATGATATATAGTGCCAAATTATTTTCCACAAAGGCCATACCAATCCCCAGTCCTGCTTGTGTGTCGGAAAGTTGGTCTCACCACACTCCTGCCATCACTGTTACCTTTTTTTGGTCATTGCCAATTCTTTAGGTTAAAACCAATATTGCATTTTTGTTTTCATTTCAAATTCCTATTTTAATGTAGTTCTAACTAGTGTATATACCTTAAAATGTACATACATTTACTATGTATTACCTTTCAAAGTTGAATTGAATTACGGTAGCAATGTGTAGTATGACCTTTGCTCAAAAGATAGAGTTAATCAAATGAATCACACATCATGCAGGACAAAGAAAACGCGGAATCAAGGTTGTCATTCGAGAAGCACAAGACCATTTTGAAGAGGTATTTGAAATTCGAGCAAGTTGTGGAAGTACAACGACAATGGAGGTGTGAGTAAGCAACAGAGCCTCCAACACGCCTAACAACTGTACGCATTCGTGATAAGTTTGAGATGCATGGTACTGTGTGAAGAAATTGAAATGGCATGTGCAGTGATACAAGTGGACACTTAGGTCAGCATTGCTCAAGCAGTAGTTCACTATAATCAGAAGTGTCTGGACGCTGATGGTAACCACTTTGAGCTCCTCTTGTAATTGCAGAAGTCAAACTTGACTTGTATTCATCTTTTCTTATCAGTATATAATTGAGTATTACAATTTTAATCCAGTTTTTTCCATTCTTAAAATGTGTATACATTTTTTGGGCACCCTCTGTATAATTCTATACCCTGGGTTTTTCATCCACCAGCAATGTTTCATGAGCAGTTTTCCATGGTATATAGCTTTCAAAGTATGTGTTTAACAGCTGTATAACATTCCATCAGATGAATGTACCTTGAATCACTTATCATTCACTGAGTTGTACATTTAAGACCTAATTTTTCATGTGAAAAAGGCTCATTTGAAAGAAGGTTCATAGGCTTATTCCCCATGTTTTAGATTATTTCATTTAGAGTCAATTCTCAGAAGTGGGAATACTAAGTGAAAGGCTTTTTGGATATTAATATAGCAGTGGTACCTTAAAAATTCCTATCACAAGTGTGTGACTCCCACCCAATAGAGTGCTATGAGGACAGGACCACACTGCACTCATCACTGTTTCTGCTTCAGGCCCCAGCATCAGCTGTCAAGGAGTCTATTTTTAATAAACCCCCAATGAATTTAGTTACTTAGGCATATTGCATTTTTACCAGATACAAAGCCATTAAAAGCTGAAGGGCTATAAAATGCCCAGATGAGCAGTGAGGGGCATGGTAGCAAAGCACACGCTAACAATAAACGGAGACATTTTGGCAAGTGAATTTATCCCTTTGCCAATTTATAACAGAAATTAATTTAATTAATTTATACTTTTCTGGAATAGTTTCCAGAGGTAAAAGACTAATCCATGAAGTAACCATGAAGTCACTTCAGTTTTCAGTTCAAAGGACATACACCCAACAATGAGCTGAGAGATCAAAGAAAATGGCTCCTTAGAAGAAAGCCAGGTACCCCTGAAGGGTAATATGAATAAAACTGGAAACTTCTCCCACTACTATGCATCTACTAAGTGACTGGAGAGTGGCTCACCCACCACCCCAACAGTTTTCTCTGACAGTAAGAATAAGCATCACATGGAACAACCAAGGACCTGCTCTCACCTGGGGTTCTGTGGCCAGCGGCGGGCCTGGCCTCGTGGAGGCCGATCAGTATGTGCTGAGGAGGAGCCAATCTGATTTTAGAAATAGTTCTTCTTTTTATGGGCCATATTTCTATTTGTTGATCATATACCAATTTCAGCTTCCTTTTAAACATTTCAAAATACTAGCTTTCACAAGCTCAGAAATGGACATGCCCGTTTTATAAAACACACCCTTCTATTATTTGGTTCCGTATCAGACTCTTGTTTCTGATTCTGAGGAATGACCCGTGGTGTGGCAAAGATATAAAATATCTGTTACAGGGAGCTCTGGGGGGGCTGCCTGGGATGACTTACCAATGTTAACCGAGTCTTCCCAATCTTCCAGCACTTCTGTGACAATGAGCACATACACATACGTTCTGTGCTTCCTCTCCTGGTTCTGAGGGCAAAGAGAAAAGGACAGAGAAAGTTTTTCCTCACAGAGCTGAGATTACTTAAATGAAGCACACCCTTAGACATACGTCCAGAGAGCTTAGACACAAGGATTCCTTTTACTTTTTACTGTCCTACAATCAAACATGAACTAGTCCTAGATGGCCTATTTAAGACACGCCACACTTGCATTTGAGGGTGTGCTCTTTGGCTGGATGTCTAAGGCCAAGGCTTTACTCTCTTTTTTCCTTTTCCTTTGCGCAAGTGCAACTTCACAGGAATGTTGTGATAAGGAAATTCATGACCTTTTAAGAACAAGACACCAAATAAATTTAATTAGCTGGGGCACCAGAAGGAGAAAGGACCGTGGATGGGCCCCATCAGTGCAAGCAATTGGTGATCTCACACATCTCCCTTCCTACTGGCCTTGTTCAGCTTTATTCCGATTTCTCACTTCTGTCCACCTTCCCCCAAATCTCTACCCCAGGCCATTTCCTTGTTTCTCTCTCCTCTGCCATAGCTACTTATCTTCTATTTCTCCTCTGTCTTCCCCATACTTATCTATTCCTCCTCATATGTTAGGAGGAAAGGAAGAGAGGCAGGGATGGGATTAATAATACTTACAAATAATATTGTAGCTGTTTGGAGACTATGGGATTTAAAAAAAAGAAAGCAAGCTGGTGCTGCTTTGTTTTGAAAACTCAGTGAAACAAAGATGGCATCTTTCCTAGATTAAGACTGCAATGGACTGAATATTTATGTTCTCCCCAAATTCATCTGCTGAAATCTTAATCCCCAGTGTTACGAGGCATTACGAGGCGGGGCCTTTGACAGGTGATGAGGTTACGAGGGCTAACCCCCATGAATGGGGTTAGTGCCCTCACAACAGAGACCTCTGCCACCATGTGAGAACACAGAGAGAAACAGCTGTCTATGAACCAGGAAGCAGGTTCTCAACCAGTCACCAAATCTATTGGTGCCTTGATCTTGGACTTCCTAGCCTCCAGAATTGTGAGAAAACAATTTCTATTGCTTATAAGCCACCCAGTTTGTAGTTATTTTGTTACTACAGCTTGAATGGGATAAGACAAAGATATATGTGGTTATTAATATGATACCAAATGTGCCAAAGGTTTTAACAGACTTACCTCAAAAATTCCAACTAATCTTCCCAAGGTCCCTTTTACTCCAGCCTGAAAAGTGGGGAAAAAAAAAAAAAATTAACACATTGGTATTGTTTATATTGCTGGTCTTTTTGAATCTTCTTGAGCAATTTGCAGAACAGAAATAATAAACAAGAGGACACTGCTTGCGCGGACTCCAGTTTGGTGGCAGTCACACCAGTGTTTCCTGAGAAGAGCAGGGTGCGCTCTGGGGAGGGGGAACTCCTCTTATCTCCTCCCAGTCTCTCTCCCAACTTTGCAAAGCTGGCCAAACAAGAGCAGGTAATCAAGGCCATGAATGACTGCACTTATTTATTCATTCAGGCAACAGCAAAACACTGAATGCCTAATTTCAGCCAGATAGCAAACACTGTGGGTACCAGAGATACAGTGATGACTAAGCTAGAACAAAAGACCCATGAGAGCAAGACCCTTATCTGACTTGTTTTTGGATGTCTGTACATAGGAGGCCCAGAACAGAGCTCAGCACCCTGCAGGAACTCAGTAGAGCATCAGTCAACAAAAACACAAAACTGGTAATTCTGTCAGTGACAGAGATGTGCAGAACAAATATCATGCGGAGAGTGACAGGTGGTTAGGCCTTTGTATCTCCCATCTGCCCTTTGGTATTTAGATCTGTGTCTTTCTGATGCATTATAGGTAAAATTTTCAGTCTATTTACTAATTTTCTTTTAAACTGTATCCAGGGTAGTTATCCTATCTCTAGTCTATTTTTTATTTGACATTTTTCATTTCTACCTGTTCTTTACATATCTACCTGTTTTCATTACATATGCCTTTGTTTCTATGATAGTTTGTTCTTTTAAAACAAATTATTCCTTTATTTACTTTTTGAACATCCTGAATATATTTAAGTTCTTTGTCAGGCCACGCTATAAAATTCACTTCATCTGAAACAAATTCACATTCCAGCTGGTGAAGGGCTTACTCGTGAGGCAGCATTCACCATGTTCTCCAGAGCCAGGTCTTAGAGTGCTATCAACAGTTTAGGGCTCCTGCTCCAAGGTGATATACAGACTACTGCATAGAGAGCCACTGGGTCAGAGGGTGGCTTGGCTCCTTGTTTTATTGTGCACTGTATCTGTGTCCTCTTCCTTCTAGACCCACATCTTTCTAAAAATCTCAGCTCTTGATATCCTTTCCATTGGGCACCTGGGCTTCCCCTTACTCCAGGGGGTCTACCCATTAGCCACCCAAGGCCAGGCAGGCTTTAGGTTTCCCCAGCTACTTTGCACTTCTGCTGTTTCTGATCTAGAAAGGTAGTGTCCACTTTGCTGCTTTTGAGCCAGACTAGTTCTTTCTAGCTTTTGCTCTTTATATTTTATATCTGTTTCCGCTAGGAGTAGAAGAGGTCAAAGGTGAGGGAAAGATGACCCCTGGGAAATGCCTGGGGAATGCCGTAACTTGTTTTCTATTACTACTGCCCTGTTATTTGTATAATAAACTAAAAATTATGGCAAAAATAATTTCTAAACACAGTAGGTGCTCATTAAGTTTGTACAGAATGAACAAAAATTTTAAATAAGTACTCTAAAAGTTCTTAAGACTAATAGAAACAACGGAAATCAACTTAAAGGCCCTACTGGTTGAGCTTGATTTTGAAATTAATGTTTGCTAATTATCTGTGAAGAAATTCTATTCCTTTCTCTTGTCAACATGCCTGTTTCTTTTCCCATTATTTTCCCATCCATTTTTATTCCCATGTGGCTTTTGGTCTACTTGAATGGAAATGTCTATCTTTTCTTATTTAAATTGCTTCTCTATCCTTTTAAAAATAATTGCACTCCATAGCCAGCTAAGACCAGCTACTGGGATGTCGGAAAACTCATGACGCATGTTTGCAACGGATGGCACTAGTTCATTTTTGGAAGTACTGGAGTCATTTGCACCTATATTATTGCTATGTCATTTGACAGCTGACAGTTCTAGCTTCATTCTAAAAAAAAACAACTGAGCCATTTGGTTGAGATTTGGAGATTTTACAAGTTGAAGAAGGAAGACCAAACTGTGCATTTTCGCCATATTTTACTGTTTGACTTCCATAAAGGGAAGAACGTGCATCAAGCTTGTGAAAAGTTGCATCAAGTTTACGGTGTCAATGTTCTACAAGAACATCAGTGCCAACGATGGTTCACAAAATCCCATGCTGGTGATTTTGATTTCAATGATGCTCCTTGGTCAGGGAAGCCCACTGAGGTTGATGATGACAACATAAAGAAATTGATCGAATCCAACCCACATTACACGACATGAGAGATTGCAGAAACACTGCGCATCCATCATTCAAGCGTTCACGACCACCTGAAGAAGCTAGGATACGTAAGCAAGCTTGATATTTGGGTTCCGCATGAACTCAAAGAAGTTCATTTGACGGCGCGTATAAACATCTGCAATGTGCTCATTAAACGTAAGGAAAATGATCCTTTTTTGAAGTGACTGATAAATGGTGATGAGAAGTGGATTATTTACAACAATGTGGTGCGCAAACGGTCTTGGTCCCGACGTCATGATTCGCCTCAAATGCCATCGAAAGCAGACATTCATCAGAGGAAGGTTATGCTCTCAGTGTGGTTGGATTTTAAAGGTGTGTTTTTCAAGCTCCTACCAAGGAACCAAACAATCAATTCGAATGTGTAGTGTTGGCAGTTGGACAGTTTGAACGAATCCATCATCCAGAAACGTCCAGAGATTGTTAATCGTAAAGGAGTTGTGTTCCATCGCGACAACGCGAGACCACACACAAGTTTGATCACCTGTCAAAAATTACTGGAGCTTGGATGGGATGTGTTGCCACACCCACCATACTCGCCTGACCTTGTGCCATCAGACTTCCACTTGTTTCGCTCTCTTCAAAACTTGCGTGGTAATAACGTTCAATTCAGATGAAGCTGTAAAGCAGCATTTTGTTCAGTTTTTCGCAAATAAAGACAGGTCCTTCTATGAACGAGGAATTATGAAGCTCACTGAAAGACGGCAAAAGGTTATCAAACAAAACGGGCAATATATCATTGACTCATCTTTGTTCTTTATGTAAATAAATGATCTTTGAAAAACATAGACAAAATACGTCATGACTTTTCCTACAACCCAATAGATTGTACATCATGAATTAACTAGTAAAGGTGCCTGAACAGTGGGACAGGCTGGCAGGCCACCTTGGGTTGGAAAGCCAATTCTGTACTCTGATGCTGGGCAGCCCAAAAACACTCAGATCAACTCCTAAGATGTGTCACCTGTGCCTTTGCCATGGGTCTCCACTGACAGGGCCTGGGAGTAGGGCTGTCAGAGGTGCAAGGAAAGACTCATAGAGGTTTATAGAAGCCATCATTTACTTTTCTGCAAAGTGGAGAAAGCGTTCTCTTTAGTAGTTTTTCTGCAATAATTTTATCTTAAAGAAACCAGAAGTTTAGCAAAAAAAATGCTCTTTTAATTTTAAGGGCACAAGTCAACTTAAGATTATGACAATTCAGTATCATTTGTTTAAAACTTTTTTTTTAAAGTTTTTTTTTTTTAAAGATTTTTTTTTTTATTGGGGGAATTGGGGGAATGGGAACAGTGCTGGGGAATTGGGGGAAGGGGAACAGACAAGTTGCTGTCGTCTTCTTCTTCAATCTAGTTGTGGAGGATGTTGCTTCACTGGCCCAAGTTGGCACCATCATTGCGCTCTTCCCGGGCGAGGCAGATCAGTCGCCGGCTTCTGGACGGCCGCTCACTGCGGCTGCTGGCCGCTCACGCTGGCTGCTGGCTACATACGGTAGCCCATGGCAACCCACTGCCACAGGGGCTGCAGCCTACGCCGTCGCCGGCGACTCATGGCAACCCAGCTCCAGGTTGAGCTGTTGTTCAGCATCTTAGCTGTGGAGGGCAGTGTCACTGGCCCTCATATGTGGGATCCGAACCGGGGCCCTCTGGCATCCCAAGAGAGTTCTTAACCATCGCGCCACTCGGCCGGCCCTAAAACTTTTTAGTAATAGTAATTTCTGCATTCAATAGCAACATACACATTTATCTATGATTTACTCTGTGTCAGTGACAGTTGGGAAAAATATAAAAGCACTTTTCTTTGAAATAGATGCATTCTTATAAAGTCTAATGTAAATCAAATAATGTTGCCATCTGTACTGAAATTTCAGTGGCATTTATTTTCACTTCTCATTTAATCTTCCAGTTGCAGAAACTAATAGTAGTTTTATTTGTCTCTTAGTGTCTATTTCCAGTTTTATACTAACACTTATGGGAATCTATCTACAGCGATCTTACCAATGATTCTAATGGTAAAAAGCAAAGAAATATTCCTATATTTACCAGTTTTTAAAATTGAGATTTAGCAGTTTTCTTGAGGAGGAGCCTCTTTAGTAAGAAAGAGGATTTCAGTTTTTAAAATCATAGTGCTGGAAAGACGAAGATTCTTCGGAGGTAAGGCTGCCCAAGACAGAGTTCACTGTAACCACTTTACCATTTCATAATTTCCCACAGTCCAACTTTCATGTCTCAGCTCTCTCTCAAATGCTGCCACAGGCAACTGGACGGTTATTTTTATCTCTTACATGGGGTAGGTGCCAGGGTCACATCTGACAGATATTTGGCTCAGACACTGAGGATAAGATTTGATTCAGGGTATATGTAAATTGGTCCAGTTAGGGTGCTGGTATGAACCTGTTTTTCTCAAAATCATTTGAAAGCAGTTATAATTTCAATCTGTATGTCAAAAGCCCCTAATTCAGAGAAGGAGACTGTTTAAAAGTCTGTCTTAGCTAGTAGTAGATAGGAATTCCAAATAAAATAGTTATTGGCCTTTATTATTCAACCATATGTAGGGGAGTTCTTCCTTGAACTTCAAAGTATACAATATGAATTCTAGCACTTTAGGTCTAGTTAACAAAAATAATCTAAGCAATTGCTTACTTTTTAAAAAGAAAAAAAAATCACCAATGTCTTTTTTTTCTTTCAGAGTGTTTTACTGATATTGGAAAGGGCTGAACCAATCAGGGAGACATCAGTGATTCTAT